TTGGTAACATTGAATATAGTACCACTAAAGAAGAATTAAAAGAATTGTTCAAAGATTATTTAATTGAATCAATTCAAATTCCAACCAGATCACCAAGAACTAAGAATGGTAAAAGAGGTACACCAAAGAGTAAAGGTTATGTTTTCATTACTTTTGCCCCAGAAGTTAAAGATTTAGATTCAATTATCAAAAAATTCACTGATTATGAATTTAAAGATCGTAAGATTTATTTAAGTCATCCAGCTCCAAAGGAAGAATCATCAAATGATGATGATGAAACTAAAAAAGCTGATGAAACTAAAAAAACTGATGTTAAAAAATCATCAACATCTGCACCAAAACCAAAAAAAACCATCACCAAGAAGGAAAAAATCCCATTTGAAAAAGGTACTAAATCTAATGATACTATTTATTTGAAAAATTTGGATTTCCAAACAAGCGCAAAAGAATTGAGAGATTTTTTCACTGAAGAAGGTGAAGAAGTTAGATGGGTTAGTGTACCTTTTAAAAGATTACCTCAATTTATTTTGAAAAAATTAGAAGATGAAGGTAAATTAATTAAAAAAATAAAGGTTTTGCATTTGTTAAATTTAAATTAGGTGAAGATGAAAAAATTGATGATAAAGTTGCTAAATATCAAGGTAAATTGTTTAAAGAAAGGGAATTACAAATTAGTGTTGCTGTTGATGTTAGACATGTTGAAGAAGGTGAAGCCGATGAAGGTCAAGAAGAAGCTACTTCTGCTTAGATGCTGATTGCCTTGTGTTTTATTTTTGCTACTTTATATGATATGTGTGTTACTGTGAATGTGAATCTTGTCTACTCATTTTGAAGTCTTTATTGATATTTGAAAGAGGGCTTAGACTGAAAAAAAGAGGGTGCATACATATGAAAAAAAAGATATGTTTGAAATTTATAAGTACTTAAGTTAAAAGAGATGAATGTACGAAAAAGTTGTAAATTCTGTGAAAAAAAGTGTAGAAATGTAAATAAAAGTGTAAAATTGTGGTGTATGTAATTGACCTATCTATGATGATTTCCACGGCTTTAACACGGAGCACAAGTGAAAATTTTGATAGAGCCATGAGGCAAAAGCTATAAACTCTAGAGAATAACGTAATAACAGATTATGTTATTACTATACTCTTTATTCTCCTCTTTAACAGTGACTCATTCCATTCTTTTCCCTTTGAAATCCTTCAGTTAAAGCCTTCAAACGCGTGTGCCGATCAGTTCAAAGAGGCTGCATCTCCAAAATAATTGCAATTTTTCATCCTTATAAAAACAGCAAAGGCCCTCAGCTTCACCTCCAGCACCAGAACCTTCACCTCCAGCATCTCCCAATGGACTCTCCCTGGCACTGCAACAGCTCCTGGCACTACGACGACCTCACGCCCTGCGCGAGGGTCAAGTACTTTGAAACCGCCCTGCCTTTGGCCATCCTCTCAGCTTCAGGAGCCATAATATTAGGGAAATCCCTTGCAAATTATCTATCCATCAAGAACAAGAATCTATCAAATGAATACGAACCGTTGCTACGTGCTGCTAATGATCAATCCCATGGCTCATTGCTAGATGGTGATGACAAGGAGTTCACTGAAAAGATTAAAAACACTCATTTTGATATAGCGTCATTGCCACCGGTTAAGCTAAATGGTAAACCTCATGGTTCAATTAAATATGTCCCAAGATCTAAAACTGAGAAATTTAGAGTCGTATTTGAAGAATTGTTGATTCTGATACAAATTGCATTAAATTCTACCAAGTTTTCCAATAAGAATGATGATAATTCAACTGCAATCTTTATAAACATAGCATTATGGTCATGGTTATTAATCTTAACCACTATAAGATTATCAAACCTAAATGATTCTTTCAAAAAATTGATCAATATAATTCCAAATTTATGGGTCAATAATTTTGTCACATATCTATTCTTATGGTTCCCAAGTTTTATATCATTCAGAAGTGCATTAATTGGTAATACGTCATCTCCAATCCATTATTATACAAACTTCACCATCATCTCCATCCTATTTCTCAATTTATTAACTTCTAAAATCGGTTATAAAACTCCATTCATCTATATCACTGATGAAAACTCAACCCCTGCTCCAGAACCAATAACAAGATTGAGTAGCTTCATCACATTTAGTTGGGTGGATCCAATGATTTGGCAATCATATTTAGAATCTTTGAAAATTGAACAAGTTTGGGACTTAAGATTAGAAGATTATTCTTATTATGTTCAAAAAAGTTTTAAACAATATAGTGATTCAAGAAAAAATTGGAAGTTTTCAAATAGATTAATCTTATATTTTATTAATAATTTATTAATTATGGGATTTTGGGCAATTGTGGAGACAATTATTTTATTTGCTCCAACTTTATTATTGAAAAAAATTTTAGAATATGTTGATGATACAACAACAACTTCTAAAAATTTGGCTTGGTTTTATGTTTTCTTAATGTTTATCTTTAAATTATTAGCTTCTGTCTCTTCAGGTCAAGCTTTATTCTTGGGGAGAAGAGTCTGTATTAGAATCAAATCAATCATTATTGGTGAAATTTATGCAAAGGCTTTAAGAAGAAAATTATCAGCTGCTGATCAAAAAACCGAGGAAGATGAGGATGATGATAAAAAAAAAGATAAAGATCCTCAATTAGATAATAAAGAAGATGGTGATGAAGAATCCAAGAAAACTTCAGCTAATCTTGGTGCAATCATTAATTTAATGGCTGTTGATGCTTTTAAAGTTAGTGAAGTTTGTGCTTATTTACATGCTTTTGTCGGTGCAATCTTTATGATTTTCGTTTCAATCTATTTATTATACAATTTGTTAGGTTGGAGTGCTTTAGTTGGTGCTTTTTCAATCATTGTATTGGCTCCTGTTAATTATACTTTGGCTCAATATTTAGGTACTTTAGAGAAAAAAATGTTGTCAGTCACTGATAGACGTATTCAAAAATTGAATGAAACTTTCCAAGCTATTAGAATTATTAAATTTTTCGCATGGGAAGATAAATTTTCAGATCAAATTTTGAAAATTAGACGTGAAGAATTAAGTTATTTGAAGAAAAGTGCATTTATGTGGGTTGCTTCATCTTTTGTTTGGTATATCACACCAACTGTGGTTACTTGTGTTTCATTTGGTTGTTATATTTTCATCTCTCATAAAACTTTAACCACTCCAATTGCATTCACTGCTTTATCTTTGTTTAATTTATTAAGAAATCCATTGGATCAAATTAGTGATATGTTGAGTTTTGCCATTCAATCAAAAGTTTCATTAGATCGTGTGCAAAAATTCTTGGATGAAGAAGAATCAACAAAATATGAACAATTAACAGCCGTGAAGAACAATAACAATAACAAGATTGGTTTTGCAAATGCTTCATTCAGTTGGAACTCAAAATCAGATGTTGATTTCAAAATTAAAGATTTAACAATCGATTTCAAATTGAGAAAATTAAACGTTATTATTGGTCCGACAGGTGCCGGTAAAACTTCATTATTAATGGCTTTATTAGGTGAAATGGAATTAACAAAAGGTGAAATTTACTTACCAGGCTATAATGCTAGAGAAGATTTAGAAGTTGATAAAGACGGTTATACTGAATCAGTTGCTTATTGTTCTCAAGCTGCTTGGTTATTGAATGATTCAATTAGAAACAATATTATATTCGCTGCTCCATTCAATAGAGATCGTTATAATAAAGTTGTCGAAGCTTGTGGATTAACTCGTGATTTTGAAATCTTGAAAGCTGGTGATCAAACTGAAATTGGTGAAAAGGGTATTGCATTATCTGGTGGTCAAAAGCAAAGAGTTTCATTAGCAAGAGCCTTGTATTCAAATTCAAGACATATCTTGTTGGATGACTGTTTAAGTGCTGTTGATTCTCATACTGCTCTTCACATTTATGAAAATTGTATTTCTGGTCCATTAATGGCAAATAGAACTGTTTTATTAGTTTCTCATAATGTTGCTTTAACAATTAAATCTGCTGAATATGTTATTGTTATGGACAATGGTAAAGTTACTCATCAAGGTACTCCTCATGAATTATTGGAAGCTGGTGCCTTGGGTGATGATGAAATGATCAAATCAAGTGTTATGGCTTCAAGAGTTAATTCTTCATTGAACTTAAAAGATGTGCAATCAAATGATTCTTCGGTCACTGAAAGTGTTGCTAAAAAATTGAGAAATCCATCAGAATCAAAACCAACTTTAATTGATGAAGAAGCTGAAGAATTGGAAAATTTGAAAAAGGGTAAATTGATTGAAGAAGAAACTAAAAGTGAAGGTGTTGTTTCTGGTGAAGTTTATAAATGGTATTTCAATGTCTTTGGTGGGTTCCCAATTGTTATTGCATTATTATCAATTTTCGCAGTTGCTCAAGTTTCAAATATTGGTCAATCTTGGTGGGTCCGTGCATGGGCTAAAAACATGGAGAATAGTTTATCCATCATGGGTTCAGTTGTGGAATCAAATACCTATTCAAATACAATGATCAAATCTGTGACAAAACCATTAAATGTTTTCATTTTGAAATACCATGTTGTTAAAAATAGCGTTGAAGTTATGAAGACTGAAAATGAATCTATTTTCTATATCACTATTTATGCTTTATTAGGTTTCACTTATGCTGCAATTTCTTCATTTAGAGTTATCATGGTGTTTTTAGCTGGTATTAGAGCTTCTTCAAGAATTTTCAAAAAAGTTTTATTAAGAGTCCTAAGAGCAAAATTAAGATTTTTCGATTCAACACCAATTGGTAGAATTATGAATAGATTTTCTAAAGATATTGAATCTATTGATCAAGAATTGGTTCCTTTTGCTGATGGTGCATTGGCTTGTGTCATTTCTGTTATTTTCATCTTGTCATTAATTACAGTCATTACTCCAGGTTTCATCTTTTTGGCTATTATAATTGTTGCCTTGTATTATACAATTGCATTCTTTTACTTGAATGGTTCAAGAGAATTGAAGAGATATGAATCAATTACAAGATCACCAATCCATCAACATTTCAGTGAAACTTTGGTTGGTGTTAGTACTATTCGTGCTTATGGTATGGAACGTAGATTCTTGCAAGAAAATTTGGTCAAGATTGATGATAATAATAAACCATTCTTTTATATGTGGGTCACAAATAGATGGTTAAGTATTAGAAATGATTTAGTTGGTTCTTTGGTTATCTTTTTCAGTGGTGCTTTTGTCTTGTACAACATTAATAAAATTGATGCAGGTTTAGCAGGTATTTCGTTATCTTATGCTATTGCCTTCAATGAAAGTGCATTATGGGTTGTTAGATTATATGCTAACGTTGAAATGACCATGAATTCTGTGGAAAGATTAAAGGAATATTTGGATATTGAAGAAGAACCTGCTGAATATTTACCAGAGAATGAACCTCCAGCAAACTGGCCAGATCAAGGTAGATTAGAAGTTAGTGATTTATCACTACGTTATGCTCCAACTTTACCAAGAGTTATAAAGAATGTTACATTTTCAGTGGAACCAAATAATAAGATTGGTATCGTTGGTAGAACAGGTGCTGGTAAATCTACAATTATCACTGCATTATTTAGATTTTTGGATCCAGAAACTGGTTATATCAAAATTGATGGTGTTGATATCACATCAATTGGTTTGAAAACTTTGAGACAAGCTATTACAATTATTCCACAAGATCCAACATTATTCACAGGTACAATTAGATCTAATTTAGATCCTTTCAACAGTTATAATGATGAGAACATCTATGAGGCTTTAAGAAGAGTTAATTTGATTACAAGTAATGAAGTCTTGAACACTTCAAATGCTATAACGTCAGATGAAAATGTTAATAAATTCTTGAATTTGGAAAATGAAATTACAGAAGGTGGTGGTAATTTATCTCAAGGTCAACGTCAATTAATGTGTCTTGCAAGATCTTTGTTAAGATCACCAAAGATCATGTTATTAGATGAAGCTACTGCATCAATTGATTATGAATCTGATTCAAGAATTCAACAAACCATCAGACAAGAATTCTCAGAAAGTACAATTTTGACAATTGCTCATAGATTAAGATCTATTATTGATTATGATAAGATTTTAGTTATGGATGCCGGTGAAGTTATTGAGTTTGATCATCCATACAATTTGATTAAGAATGCTTCATCAACATTTTTCAGTATGTGTCAAGATAGTGGTGAATTGGAAGTTTTAGTTCAATTGGCAAAGGAAGCCTACACTAAAAAGGTCAACAAATAGGTAGGTCTGGGTTATTAAAAAGATAAAAGATAAAAAAAGGAATTTTATACAAAACAGTATTAAAAACAAAAAAAAATACGTTGGTTTTACATTATATTTTTAGAAAGTATTCGGATAGTAATATAATTATTGTTTTTTGATTAAATATTATATTTTAGAAGTTTGTGAAGTTACTATGTAGGGCTGAGCAGTTCAAAGTATCAACATCTTGTATTAACTCTTTATAAATAGTATATTAAATAATCGTAAAACATGAAGGGAAGGCAAAATCATAAGTCATATTAGTGTAAACAGCATCAATTTGTAGTTGCATTTTTGATCATATCGTCAATAGCATTGATCGTATTCAAATCAAATTCAGCGAAATTGTAATCATTAAATTCAAAGTCCAATTGGTTCTTATCAATCCAATTACAACCAGTATCAGATTGGGGAGACATTGGCTCTTCGGAATTTGGCCAAGGTAAATCTGACTGCTGAACAGTATTCAAATTCAATGATGAATAGGTTGGATCAGTTGGGAAGCCTCTATTGAAATCTGTACCAGGTGTTGATGTACTATTAAGTGGTGTTGAGACATGATTGACTGGGGTAGATTCACTGTTATTTGAAATTGACAAATTATCAATATTTGTTGAGTTTATGCTTCGTGATGCATCAAATTCATTTTCATCCTCTTTTTGAGCCCGAACATTTGCATAATTAGTATCATTATGGAAATGAGAATGTAGTTTATCAGCTAAATCAGGCAATAATTTGGTTATGCTTTCCAATAAGTAATTTGCAATCTTTGAACTTAAATACCAATGTGATGAAATTTGATAGATACCAGATAGTTCCAACTTCAAATACTCTTCATAAATATTCAATTCATTCGAGTTGAAAGATCCTAAGTTTGGATCTTTACTTTGAATCACCTGTGAATACCAAAGGTACGACGACAAATGAACTAATCCAGCAAAAGCCAAAGAACATGCACTCAATGGAGTTCTTTTCAAAATATCTAGAGGATTTGTATCAATCAACGTCTTTGATATAGAGTTTGCAGCATCTATTGTCTTTCTGGTTTCAATAATCTTTCTGGACTTTATTAAATCTTTATCTGATGGTAGGTCTTGACAGTTATCATCTGTTTTGTTCAACTGATCATTTAAAAATTCAACACATTTCAAATTCTTGGGTATATCAGGTCTCCACAAAAATGATAAAGGACGATGGGTAAAAATTTTGGCATAATTTAACATCAAAATACCTTGATGCACACCATTATTTATACGGCCCATACCGTCAACCAAATAAGGTAATTTGTAGAAATCTGGGTTTGAAAATTTTAGTTCCCAATTGGATAAAGATGCACTCAATTTAGTATATTGATGACCAATGGAAACATTTGAAAAAATGATGTTATTCAACCGAACTGAATCATCAACTAGTTTTGAAGTGTGTGCTCTTGTTTCATAATCAAATTCAAATCTATCTGGTTTGTTAGGAAAGTTTACAAAACATTCCAAAGATGTTAATGAGGAGACAGTTTTACCATCTGAACAGCCGATAATAATATCCAAAAAGAAAAGTTCCCAAAAGCATCTTCTTGCACAATCTTTGAGTGTTTCTTCTTCTAAATTCCTTACCCTTTTTGTGTTATAAAAGTTAACATTAAGCTCATCCACTGACCCTGTTGGTGTTAATCCATTCACAGCTGATGAGGAAGCACCTTTCTTATTTAATGAGTTACCATTAATGTCTATATCACCTTTAAATCTTTCAATATCCAAATTATTGATATCTAAATGGATAGCCAACTCCATGCATTTTTTCCTTATTGATGTGCTTAAATCATGGAGAGCAGATATATGACAAACAAGCGACAAAAGTATCAAAGTTTGTAAAGTGATCAAATCCCTCGGTTTTTTTTCAATCAATCCATTAATTTCAATGACAATATCAAACACTTGGTTTATATTTTTGGAGTATTTAGAACTTGTATAACCGTCACCAATCAACTTCATAACTGCTAATAGCTCTCTAGGCTCATCTGATAGTAGTAAGAAGTTGTCAATTTCATCGATAGATGGTAATAATGGATGTGCAACGTGGAATCTTGTATAGTAATTGTTGATTATTGATGAATGATCAAAAACTTGATCTAAAAACTTTCTACCAGCAGCTGAAGGTTGTTTGTGGAATGGTTCCATGTTAACATTTTGCTCGCCACGTTCTTTAATCGTATTAGCCTTTTGCTTTTTAGTGCAAGGTAGATTGAGCTGAGAGCCATCTCTCAAAAATGAGCAAGATTCTTTATCATGACCATTTGGACAATTTGCTTCATTATGATCAACAGGTCCACCATTGTTTGGTATACATGGCAGTATTGGGACTTCAATATCAACATCTGTTATATCAGTTTTTGACGGTTTAGCCTTTTTAACACCCTTCTTTCTTGATCCTCCTCTATTACTTTTAACATATGAGCATTCTTTATCATGTTGAGTACATCTTCCACATTTTGGGTATTGTCCATCACAGCGTAAGTGCCTATGACGACACTCTAGACAAGCTCTGGAGACATGTTTGGCATTTGGTCTCGCCCTCTGCGAGTCGTTTAAGGATTCTGGTAGTCTTTGCTCTTCACTCATCTTTGGATATAGAATATCGACACTATCTTATCACGGCGGCTAATCAATGAGAGCTCTGGTGGTTGGTTTCAAAGTTGATAGAAGTGACCCAGAAGAGTATAGAAGTGGTTTGTGTAGAGCGTAATTCTGTAGCCAGCAGTTCTTGTAGTTATCTGATGATTTTCCCAAACCTATCCTTTGATTGGAATAATTTATTGTTGAAACAGTATGAAAAGCGTGAAATTTCTAGCAAATAGTAATCCAGCAAGTTCTAGTACAGGAACGGGTATGAAATAGATAATTCACTGATTTCTCCCGAATTGGTTTGATCTGTTTGTTCGTTTCTAAAGGCATTTTTCAAGACGTTATGGACTTCGAAGTGTTTATTTTTTTTATTAAAGGCCTAAAAATAAGCAGCCAAAATTACACTTTTATATAGGCAAACTTCTATAAATGACTGTTTTTTTAAATATAAAATACATCACTAAATAGCGCTCATGATATAGACTACGTTAATCGCCTTTAAATTGGCATGTTCTTAATTATATTATGCTGTTTTTCAAAGCCCGCAGCAGTTTTTAATTGTGACTATGTCATTTTTGTTGAGACACACCATAATAAGTAGTGATGAAAAAAAATCAAATCTGAGTAACTTTTAACTTGATATTTGATTCATCAGAGTCATATTCATATCTCAAATATCCCCATGTAAAGTCAACCAATGTGCTGATAATACCCAAGGAGTACACCAATGTGATGGCATAAAAGAAATTGGAGTTACCAGATCCTAAATCAATCCAAAGATGGTAAAAAATTGGTGACAATATGATTGAATGTAGTAATAGCAAAATAGAAATGACTGGATATCTCAAGAATGGGAAAACAGGTTTTAATAAAAACAACAATGAGATGTAAAGTGATAAATCACCTAATGATGGATAACTTTTAGAAAAAACCAACCAACCCCAACTTAAAATAAATGCAAAAATACCATTTAATCTGATTGTTAATGGTAAAACAAATGAAATATTGTATAAATTGAACACTGAGTTATAGAAAGGAATGAAAAATTCAAACATTTCAGTGAAATAATACCACCATAAACCTAGATTTGGGGCAATTTTAGTAAATTTCAACACTGATCCATAAGTTGATTCAATAAATTTCCAATCTTGACCTAAAATGTAAAAACTTGAACCAATCAATAAACCTAACGATATCACTGCTGAAACCAAAAACAACCACACTTTTTGATTTTGACCATTGTTGTTTTGATGAATTAATTTGATCAGTGGAATAACTAAAAAGATTGGATGATATGATAAATATGAAGCAATACTAATACCAACACCTGTCAATAACACATCATTATTTAAAGCAGAGTTTAATGTCCACACAATAAAGAAATTTTGAAACAAAACGGTAGATTTACTCAATGTACTTAGAATAGCTAGTGGATTCAATGCATAAATCAAACCAACAATCCAAGGTTTGAAAAAAATAGTTTCATTCTTTGATGATATTTTTGCACTTATATTGATCAAATAATAAACAATATAAGTATCAACAATTGAATACAACAATTGATCAAAATCTTGAAAATATTGATACAAGATGATCAATAAGGGTTGATGATGTACCACACCTCCATCATATGGGTTTATATTACTTGAATAAAGGAAAAGACCTTCTTTTAACGATTTGTAAGATGTGATCAAAGTTGAGAATTCAATTGATTCTTCTAATGAATTAGCTATACTTGGTGCTATTATAAATATGCCAAACCTTATTACAAATGCCAGTATGATGACTTTCTTATCTAATGATAACATCTTGGGTATTGGATATGGGTGAGCTTGCTCTTCATTTGATGAAGTGTTGATGTTTTGAATTGACCATTAAAAAAATCTATGCTTCGTGTCAGAAAATTACCTAATGGATTAGTAATCGCTGCACACAAAATTCGAGAATATTATGTAATCAAATCTCCTAATATGTAATTTAATCAAAATATATATAAATAAGACAAATATTGCTATAACTACAATTCTGGATTTAATTCTTATCTGCTTTGTAGTCGTGAACTAAATTTTCGTGGATTATTATGGTGTTTTGGCCTTTTTATGATTTTAATAAAATAAATTTAAAGATTACAGATATTATCAACCTAGTAAATCTTATTTCACAGAACAAATTGGAGCTTTTCAAAATAGCTTAGAAAAAAAGTTCTGATTCTTACATGAGAGCACCGATAGACCTAAAGTAAAACTTAGTTCAATAAAAATTGTAACTTTTTCCATCAATAATAGAATATTTATGTTGATTAAAGCTTAAATCTGCCATAATTACACGGGTAAATAAATTACCCTTAATTGAACTAGGGAC